TTGACAAGATTGAAAAATGAGAACACTCATGAGTGGTCCTTAACAGATGGCATGTGAAACACGAGAAAACTCCTGAGTGGTACGAAATGTGCTAAGATAGCTAAAGCTGTCATTCACTGTTTATAATGTACATAAGTTAAGAAAAAGGGGGAGAGGGAAAGCATTATATATTAGAAAAAGTTTGCTTGTATAATTATAATCAACCGTGACAAGACCTATTACAAAGTAAAGAGTAAATGTGCTTTCATTTTTACAGTGGTTTTGATGGTCTCAGTCAAATCTGTATCTATTTGTAAACACAACAGACAAAAGAGACTTCATAGTTTGAGTACCAAAAGCTTATAATCTTGAACAAAGAGCATAGATTTGAATGAGAACACATGAAATTATAAACTTGAGTGACTTTTAATAAAATTTCACTGAACACTTACCAAAACATGAAATAGATCTATAGATAGAAGGCAAGGTGTATCTTCTGATTTTAGGTTAGGAAGAACAACTAAAATAAAGAAATAATTATAAGTCAGTCAGTAAGACGGCAATGTAGTTAAATATAATGCAAAATGTAAACATCTAAAATAAAAATATACTTGGATTATAGAATAAAGAATCTGATAAACTGGTACATTACAACTTTAAGATATGGGAATCATAATTAAATATAAACTAAACTGAGAAAAGGCTCCTGGAAAGCCTTGGATAAATCTAAGGGTTAGAAGATAGAATATAGGAGGTACAGGTAAAGAAACTAGGATAACTGAAATAGAGATTGTTCAATAAAATTTGCTGAATAAAAAGAATTACTTTTATACAATGTTCTCTACTTTTAGCCCCTAATTAAAAATTTCTAAATGTTCTGTGATAAATAAGTGAATAAATTTGAGATCAGAAGCAGGGAGAGCATGCAAAGCTGTATAAGTGAAATGAGGATGGAGAAGAGCCTCCTGAACAAAATAATGGTTAATATGGATTGATGACTGGAAGGAAATGCAGATAGCTCAAAAGCTATTGACTTTCTAATTTAGTCAGTCTCTAAATTTACAAGTGAGGGAAGAAGTAAGAAGGAAGTAAGTCAAGAATTTAAAACAACAGTAAAGGTTGTCTATATATAAAAATGAGAAAATTAATTATATTTCAATAAAGCTGTATCTTTTCCAAATGAAGGCAAGAAGACACTTTCCAGACTAGGTTAATTTCTTAACCCCCAATTCAAGAGTCTGAACAAAAAGCATTAAAGTTAATTAGGAGCATAGATTTTTGAGTAAAAAATGGGTTCCAGTAGTGGTTATGATTATTTGTCATATGCAAGTGATTTAACTTCTCTAAGTCTACAGTATACACAAGATTGTTAGTAGGTTCATTAGCATATGCATTTAAAGCACTTTTCCGAAGTCTGGCATATACTAACCATTTGATAAATGTTATTAATATTGGCTTTATAAAACAAACTAACATGATCACAGGGTGTTGTCATTAAATAGCTCTTTGTTCTTGACAAGTCACTTGTTTCTAGTTCTTATTTCCTCATATGAAAAATTTTCAGTAATATTTTTGATATATCAGTTAACATATCCATGACACTATCTTATTTTCTTCTGTGTTATAAACTTCTTTGTTCTCAAGACATTTTAATAACTCTAATCTCTTGTCCTGAATTCTATCATCTTTTCTGTCATATTTTGAGGTATTTTAAAAATCATAAATCCCATAATGTGTGATAAGTGCAAAAGCAGGGAGATGCCCTAGCCGATTTGGGCATAGCATCCGCCTGAGGACTGAAGGGTCCCAGGTTCGATTCCAGTCAAAGGCACATACCCAGGTTGTGAGCTCGATCTCCTGTAAGGGGTGTGAGGGAGGCAGCTGATCAATGAGTCTCTCTCATCACTGATGTTTCTCTCTCTCCCTCCTCCCTTCCTTTCTGAAATCAATAAAAATATATTTAAAAAAATAAATAAAAAAGCCGGGAGATTATTTGGAAGTGCTAGTAAAACAAGGTATTCAAATTATGACTGAAATGAAAAGAGATACCAAGAAATTAAAAACAAAAACAAAATAGAACTATGCAAATAGGACAAATTGTTCAACATAGCAAGAGGTCTTTTTGTGTGTGTGCATGTGTGTGTGTCTGTGTATTGATTTAAGAGAGGAAGGGAAAGGGAGTGATAGAAACATCGATGAGAGAGAATCATTGATCTGCTGCCTCCTGCATGGACCCTGCTGGGGATCGAGCCTGAAACCCTGGCATGTGCCCTTGACTGGAATCGAACTTGGGACCCTTCAGTCCACAGGCCAATGCTCTATCCACTGAGCCAAACCAGCTAGGGCTGTATGTTTTTATTTTTGTTTTTGCGTGTTCAAAATGAGTGCAGTATGTTGTTTCTTAACAAATACACTGCCAGCCATGTGATGAAAAAGAAATGTAAATAATAACATAGTAATAATTCAGAGAAGACTCTACCTGATAGGAGACGAATCAGAAGTTTCTGTATCAGGACCTGAGGACAGGTACTCCTCTGTGCAATGGCAAACTGCATTAATGCTTTCAGACCATTATGCTAAGTTGTAGGAAAGGGGAGGATAAAAAGGTAAGGGGAGATAATAGACCTAAGTCATTCACTGTAAAAATAATTAGTTGCAGACTTATTATACATTGTACATTCTTACAAATAAATTACAATATTTTTAATACTTCTATACAATTTTATGACCTTCCCAAATTTTTAATCAATTTTCCATGACAAAGAGGTATTAAAGCTATAATCATTTCAATTTTCATTTAAGTATTCATTTTCACCAGAGTCAATTTCTTAAATGCTTGATCCAATTTATTCTATTGAGACCCATACAAATAAATATGTTAATAGAAATTACAAAATGATGGCAGGAAACCAGTGAATTCAGGGAACAGTGCTTCTATTTCCCAAACAGAAGGAAGAGAACTAAAGGGAAGCCTACTGCGGACTATAAGTGCCCTGTGCCAGCTGTCAGAAGAATAAGAGGGTAATGGCTAGGAAGGAAGTGGTCTAGGAAGTCCTTGGTTGCCCATTCTGTGTTTACGGAACTACTGAGCACATTTCCTAAGTACCATTTTCAGGGCATGTAATGAGGCTTAGGTCTGAGGCAGGAGTACAGTCCTGTAGTGTCAGGATATGCCCACCAAGGAGCCATGGTTTAGTTTTATTCTTTTATTATTATTATAATCATTATTATTCTTGAATTCGGTATGATGATTTATCTAGAGCTAAGCCACCATTAATAACTAAACTTAGAAGGAAAAATGTAGGTTTTTAATTTTGCAATAAACAGAGAAGGGGAGAAAAATTAACTAGTATCATCTCAAATCTCTCTTAATTACATTGAACTACCAAGATTGAGTAAGCTTTAAAGTATACAATAGCCATTCAGGCTCTAGGAGACTGAAGTAGCTCCTTAAAAAACAACAACATAGAATTCTGATAATTTTATAGAAAAAGGAATGAATAAAGAATTTTGAGAAGATAAATTAATTGCAGATTCCTTAAAAGATCATACCATGAGTTACATGTACTCTGTAAGAACACACATACCTGTCTATTTTGAAGTGCTCCAAATAGAGGTTTTCCTTCATCTCCCAAGAGGTTTTCTCAAAGAGTAAAAAAAAAAAAAGTAATAATCCTGAATATTTGGTTTCTGTCTAGCAGATGTTCTTTTACTAATTACATTTTTGACCAGATAATTTGCACTTCTCTGTTTCAAAGTTTCATGTTTAAGTCTATGCCAAAATTTCTAAATTTTTGAGTGAGAGAATATTATAGAGCCAAAGACAGACTGTTTACAAATTGCTACTGTAGAATAATTTCCCTGTAGCAATCTATAAACAATACTTGGGCAAAACAAAGCTTCCTGGTTCATTTTTCCCCTTTTAACATCTCTTCTGGGCAAAAAAAAATTTAAATAAATAATTTTTATATATAATCGCCACCTATTTTTATTATAGTTGACATGTAAGTCAATCTATTGTGTTGAAAAATGCATAAGGCAGATGCAAATAAGTTTACTGTTGTTACAAAGAGTATTAAAAAGAATTATAAAAGATTAAGAGGAAAAAAGGTAAAGTTAAAAATATAAAAAATGAATTCAGGAATATATTCTGCCTTGTTGGCTAGCATATTTATTGCTAAGCTACTCTTTTTCTTTTTTCCCCCCACCAATTCTCAGCAGCAGATACATCTATGAGTGGGGAAGACTTATTTCCTTTTTTCTTCCCCCCCAATATTGTAATGTTCTTAACTATGACAACACATTCTGTATATGTCACTTCATTCTCATGGAAAATGAGATATGTTAGTTAGCAGCTTATGCAGTAGGAATAAAGTACAGTATTATGTCCACCGGATAGAAAAGCAGTATAGTAAAAACAATGTAACACTATGTTAATTAAATAGAGTCCAATTACTAGATTGCAGAACTACATACGAAGATACAGCCCTTTCTCCAGTGAATTTCTCATCTCGTTTATGACAAAACTGTGACCTTTTTTGTTTAGTGTCTAAATATAAATTCTTGATTCCTAATGCTTATATTCCTACACCGAAAGTCAGATTTTATTGTACTTCAACGTATTGTTACTATTTCTCATTTAAAAAAAATATTTTTATTGACTTCAGAGAGTAAGGGAGAGGGAAAGATAGAAACATCAATGATGAGAGAGAATCATTAATTGACTGCCTCCTGTATATTCCACACTGGATATCGAGCCTGCAATCTGGGCAATGTATACTGACTGGGAATCGAACCATGACTTTCTGGTTCATAGTTCAATGCTCAACCACTGAGCTATGCCGGCCAGGCTCAAATATTTTTTGCTTATATTTCCTATTACCATTATTATAGTTAAAAAAGAGATCAATACAAAAATTCCCAGACTAAATGGCATCAGCCCACATTAATGTACTAAAATAGTCTTCAAACAAGTTAAACTATTTAGGGCTATCAGGGATAAAAAGGAATAATTTTTAGTTGGTCAATATTAATTCTATTTTTACTAGAGGTCCGATGCACAAATTTATTGCACTGGGAGGGGGAGGGGTCTCTCAACCCGACCTGCACCTTCTTGCAGCCCGGGACCTCTTGGGGGATGTCCGCCTGCTGGCTTATGCCTGACCCCCCTCCCACCCCCAGGGTCAATCCTAAGCCGGCAGTCAGACATCCCTCTCGCAGTCCAGGGCTCTCACAATCTGGGACCCCTCGCTCCTTACTGCCTGGCTGCAGTGGAGGCAGGAGAGGCTCCCACCACCACCGCTATGCTCGCAAGCCACGAACCTGGCTTCTGGCTGAGTGCGTTCCTCCTGTGGGACCACCAGGGGGCAGCTTCTGAGTTGCGTGTCTGCCCCCTGGTGGTCATGCATGTCATAGTGACTGGTCCTTCTGCTGTTCGGTCGATTTGCATATTAGGGTTTTATTATATAAAACACCCAAACCAGTTGTTTTATAGGCTTTACCTATGGCCTGGAGAGTGAAAGCACATGTGCTCCAGGTCATCATGGGGACTCGAGGATCCGTTTCATCAGGAGGCACTTTCAGTCCAATTCTATACACTGTTGTGGCAAAGAGAATGACCATTTCCTTGATGCTATTAGAGTATTTTATCCTAAAAACAAAATAGAAAAAACTTATATAATGATTTAGTCACAGGAGCTAACTACTGAGAAGTCTAATTAGGTATTGAAGCAACAAACAATTTAACTCCTTTTGACAAAATAAGTTGCCCTTTGTCAAGTTAGAGATTAGAGCCTCTGTAGAAAATGTATTCAGTAAGAAAAAATGAGAAAAACAGAACTGTGTCTCCTGTAAGTAGAAAAATCTTACAAAACAGCTTTACTTCCTATGAAAGATGCAGTAAATGATCACAGCAGAAAAGGGCCTAGACACAAATTAAGGGATTGAACTGAAAAGAAATAAAATTAAGAGGAAAGAGATCAAACATAAGTTTTAGTGTCTGGAAAATGGACCTAGAAGTACTTTTGTGTTGAAAGACTATGTGGGGGGTGTTGATAATACCATGTACATGGAGGGATAATTTCTGGTTTCCTGAACTTCCATTTGTAACAAGTAACACGCATTTTCAGTAGCAGTGGGATACATAATATAAATAAGAATCATAAGTAGAAAAAAGTACCTCATATAATATTCTTTATATAATTCCTGATTTGGATACATTATATTTTTCAAAGTGTCTTCACATAAATATATTTCCAATAATCTTATGAGGTGAGTTAGGAGCTCATTGTCTCAATTTTATAAACAAGAAAAATGAATTGGGGGAGGGGGAGGTGACCTGAAGCTTTTCAGAAGTCACAGAGCAAGTTAGATGTGACTTTAACTGAAGTCTCTTAAATTCTGCTCTTCTTGTAGGTTGGACTAAATATAAATGGCATTATTGTTGGACAAAAATAGTTAATTATAGACATAATTCACCCTAATATATATTACTCTAGTATTTCAAACCACTTAATTTTATTAATACAAATAAAACTCTAGGGAGAAAGAAAAAAGATAAAAATGGGATAAAGAAACAATTTTACAAATAAAACAGGAAGGAAATAAAATACAGAAGCAAGGAAGAATTGTTCTCTACTCTAATTTTCACAACTATCTACAAATTTCTCTTAATACTTAGATACTTACGAAGACTGAATTCCATAACTCAGGATAGAATGGAACTCAAAAGTGGAATCACCCATCCCTTGATCAAATAATACTGGAATTGTTGGGTTTTCTCCTTAAAAATTAAAAGGAAAAAGAAAGAAAAATCATGAGAGTTTAGTCTGACATACACTTTTGTAGCTTTTTAAAGTTATATATGATCATTTTCAAAAACTTTGAAAAAGCTAATAAATAACAAATCTTTCAAAGTTTCTCCATTCAGATAACTTTGTGCGATAGTCTTCTGTTCTCCCTATAACTGTTACACATTAGATTTTTTAAAAAATTGATTTGAGAGAGAGAAAAAGAGAGAGAGATTGAGAGATCTGTTGTTCTATTTATTATACATTAATTGGTTGATTCTTGTATGTGCCCTGAGTGGGGACTGAGCCCACTAGGGCTCATGCTTTTTCAAAAAGAACAATAGCTATAGTACTGTTCTGTATCTTGTTTTTTCACTAATAGATCAGAAATGTCTTTCCACATCAATAACTTTCCACCTTATCTTTTCGTTTTTAATAAATGCATAGTATTCTATTAGTAAAGCAGCATATATTAGTGAATAAGAGCAAAGGCTTTGTAACTAAACAGCCTGGGTTTGAATCCTAGCTCTGCCACTGACTGTTACAAAGACCTTGAGTGAATATTAAACCTCTCTGTGGTCCCATTTCCTCATCAAATCAGAACTGTTGTTCCCCTATCTGGAATAAGTTGTTTTTTTCTTTTTCCTGGTTGCTTTCAATATTCCCCCCCCCCATCTTTGTTTTTTAGCAGTTTGCATATGATCTGAGTGTGGTTATCTTTAAGTTTATCTGTCCGAGGTTCACTGTACTTCTTAAATCTGTCAATTTAAAGTCTTTCACCAAATTTGGTAAGTTTCTAGACATTATTTCTTCAAAAAAAATTTTCTGTACCATCCTTTTTCTTTTTGGGACTTCAATGAAACAAACATTGAATAAAAAATGATTCCATAACGTCCTAAGGCTATCTCTTTTTATTTCATTGCTTTTTCTGTCTACTCTACAGATAGGATAATTTCCACTGATCTATTTCAAAGTTACTGACTCTTATCTCTCAATCTCCATTTTACTACTGAGCCCATCTAGTTAATTATTATTCTAGTAGAGGTCCAGCGCATGAAATCGTGCAGGTAGGGTCCCTAGGCCTAGCCTCCTGCGATCAGGGATATCTTCTGCCCATTCGCCAGTCCCCAGGCTGAACACTGCCTCCACCGCCGGGCTGTCAGGCCATTGGGATCACCAGCTCATCCCCGGCTGCTCGGGGGCTCAGGCCTGTGCGAAAGCAGGCGCTGGAGACTTCACCTCCATGCGTGTGTGCCCAGCCCGCTGCTGATGGAACTTGCTGCCCTCTTGGGGCCACTCACGCGGGTGCCGCCGCCACCGCTGGGGCTTGCTTGAGGCCTGATAGAAGCTGCGGGGCACGCCGCGACCTATCTGCCCTGTGAAAGTGGCCCCGAAAGGGCAGCACGTTCCATCAGCAGCCGGCCCGGTGCACACGCATGGAGGTGAAGTCGCTGGCGCCTGCTTTTCCGCTATGCTGAGCCCCTGAGCAGCCGGGGATGAGCTGGTGACCCCAACGGCCTGACAGCCAGCCCGGTTCTCCCACCACCCACCCCGATTCCCCCGTTCACCATCACTGATCCATCAGAGCCTGCGGGCGGGGGGCAGGGACCAAGAGGTCAGCCGTTCAGCCAGCTTGCCAGTCCCAACCCTCCACCACTCACGGGCCGGGGGCAGGGACTGAGAGGTGGTCAATGCCACCTCATGACAACTGGTTGAGCAGTTGTTCGGTCATGACACTTATGGCCTGTGGCCATTTATTATATAGGACACTAGAGGCCTGATGCACAGAATTCGTGCAAGAGTAGGTCTTCCTTCCACAGCTGCCAGCACCGCCTTCCCTCTGGCACCTGGGACCTGGGCTTCCCTCCAGCACCTGGGACCTGGGCTACTCTCTCGCACCTGGGACCCAGGCTTCCCTCCGGCTGCCAGGAGGCACCTGGCACCGGGCTTCCTTTGCAGCCCTGGCTTCATCCAGAAGGTTGTCTGGTCTAATTAGCATATTACGCTTTTATTATTATAGACTAGTGGCCTGGTGCACAAAATTCGTGCATGGTTGGGGGTTGTCCCTCAGCCCGGCCTGCACCCTCTCCAATCTGGGACCCATAGGGATCGGGCCTAAACTGGCAGTCGGACATCCCTCTCGCTATCCGGGGTCGCTGGCTCCTAACTGCTCACCTGCCTGCCTGCCTGATCACCCTTAACCACTCTGCCTGATGGCCTGCTCGCCCCCACTGGCCTTCTTGCCCCCAACTACCCCCCATGCTGGCCTGCTCACCCCCAACTACCCCCTGCCTGCTGGCCTGCTTGCCCCCAACTGCACCCCTTGCCGGCCTGCTCAACCCCAACTGTGTTCCCCTGCCAGCCTGCTAACCCCCAACTACCCCCCATGCTGGCCTGCTCACCCCCAACTACCCCCTGCCTGCTGGCCTGCTTGCCCCCAACTGCACCCCTTGCCGGCCTGCTCAACCCCAACTGTGTTCCCCTGCCAGCCTGCTAACCCCCAACTACCCCCCAACCCTGCTGGCCTGCTCATGCCCAACTGCCCTCCCCTCCTGGCCTGATTGCCCCTAACCGCCTCTGCCTGGGCCCCGCCACCATGGCTTTGTCCAGAAGGTCTCCTGGTTAGTTAGCATATTACCCTTTTATTAGTATAGTGTGGTTTTTTTTCAATTCTATTATTTCCATTTAGATTTTTTTAGTTTTAGTTTTTTTCTGCTGACAACTCCTATCTTTCCATTCATTTCAAGAATGTTCACCTTTACCTATGTTTCACGATTATATGGCTGCTTTAAACTTTTTGCCTGAAAATTTCAATATTAAAACATCTAAGGATTGGCATTTGATTGTTGAATGATGGTCAGGTTCTTTGTATATTGAGTAATTCTGGATTGTATCTTGAGTATTACTTTGTATAGTTATGGCTCCTGTTAAAATTCTCTAGAAAAATTTATTTTGTTTTGGTGGGTAATTAACCCAATTAGGTTTAACAAGTTCTGTGGCATTGTATGTGTTGGTTCCAGTGTTAGTTTTCAGCACCTTTGTTATACTGTCTGGGTGTGCCAGGATACAAACTACCCGGGGATTCGTCTGGGGCTTGAATGGTGATTTAATGCAGCTTCGATCTCAAAGCTGCTGCTCGGCTTCTTGGGCCCTGTTCTGCACAATGTACAGCTTGGAAGGGAGCCCAGGACTTGTATTGATCTAAAAAATAGACTGCCCTTCTAGAGTGCTTCCTCTCTGGAATTTCCCCCTTAATCTCTAGCTCCAAGGGATCCTTTTCCCCAGTTCTTTGGTCAAAATGATAAGTTTCTCTCAGTTTTAGTCCCCTGTGCTATCAGCAACCTTTTGGGGTAAAACTGTGAGATAAAGAGAAAAAAATAATTGAGGATTCACTCTGCATTCTTTGGAACACAGGGGTCTCCTTTTTCTAATTCCTCTGGCTGGAGGGATTGGCTTTCTCTTATGAATTTAGGCATCTACATGGCAGTGCAGCTCTACGACGGGGGCTAGCCTGAGGAGAGGGTCAGAAGAGGGAGGGGGAACCACAAAAGGAATTTCCTTTACACTCTCCAGGGGCTTCTTTACCTGGTGCTATAGCCAGAGAGCACCTCTCTTGAATTTGTTGCTGGTCATGTCTCTTACAAAGTTCTGTGATTTGGGGTCAAAGCTAGAAAATAAAGGAGGGGGAGGGGGGGCAACCCAGGAAACTCAATGCCTATATTAATCACTCTTCAAATTTTGATTTCTCTCCTTAATCTGTCTGAATTGTTTATTTCTCAGTCTTTAGGTAGTCTTATCTCCAACTGTAAATATATATATATATATAAATGAGAGAACAGTTTTAAAATGTTGTTTTTGTAATTACTATTAATAATAACATTAATAATACTAGTAATAGTAATGGCTAACACATATAGTATTTACAGCTCTACTTTCCATAGGATAACTCAACACTTTAATCAATGAGATAGGTAATATTATTATTCCCACTTTATAAATTAGAAAGTCGAGGGTAAGTAACTTGTCCACGATCATATGAACAGTAAATGATGGATATAAGATTCAAACCCAAGCAGTGTGACTCCAGATTAATCACTGTCTATCCTGCCTCCCAGTATAAAAAAAATTATTAAATCAAGTAAAGTGTTTAAAACTAAACTTAGGGCTTTAAAAACCTCTATTTTCTGATACTTAACAAATATAGACTTTTAAACTATATCTTAAGAGCAATAAGTACATTTTTCTTAGAAAATTTATAGATTCTGATACTTAAATCCCACATAGCTAAGTAAAAGATAATTGTAAGCACACCTTTGGCATGTTTTATATTATAACCTGATATTCTTGCCAGAACAGTTGGTATCCATCGTGCCAGGGTCAAAAGCTGAGCAAGGGCTTCTGCATTCTCACTGAAAAGAGATATTGAAAACTTATTAAAGCCATTGGCACAAAGTCAAGCTGAAAAGCTGAATTTGTGGAGTTCTTCCCTTGATAAATGGATATATAAAGAAGTCAAATTCTGTCCTGACTGGTGTGGCTCAGTTGGTTGGAGCATTATCCCGTGCACTGAAGGGTCACAGATTCGATTCCTAGTCAGGGCACACACCCACCCAGTTGCGGGTTCCATTCCTGGTTGGGGAACATACAGGACAACCAATTGATGTTTCTCTATCACATCAATGTTTATCTCTTTTCCTATCCCTTCCTCACTCTCTAAAATAAATATATTTTTTTAAAAAGAAGAAAAGTCAAATTCCTCCACATTAACTGCCTATGTGATAGAGCACATGTGCCTAAAAAAGTAGTTTTGGGAGGGAGGGGAATTTTAAAAGTACAAGGAATAAGATTCCACCCATATTCCCATTGATTCACCATTCTTTTTTGTTTGTCTGTCTGTTTGTTAATCCTCACCAGAAATATATTTTTCACACTGCTTTTTCAAAGAGAAAAGGAGGGAGGGAAGGAGAGAAATATCTATGTGAGATCTCATACTGACTAGTTGCCTCCTGCATGCTCCCCTACCAGGGAGCAACCTGCAATCCAGATATGGCCCTTGACTGGGAATCAAACCTGCAACCACTCGGTGCATGGGCCAACACTCTAACCAGAGCCACAAAAGCCAGGGCTGGAATCACCATCCTTGTTGCTCAAATAAAAAACTAGGTGTTGCCACTGATTTCTCTGATGCCCTCACACTCCACATTCTAATTTATCAGCTAGTCTCACAGGTTTTGCCTTCTAAATATATCCTAAGTTGACCACCTCTTTCTACCTCCATTATTAATCTAATCCAAGTCATATCTGAACTAGTTCAATAAACTAGTTCCTGCTTCTGCAAGGGTGTTTCATTATTATATGTGTATGCATCATACAGCAGAACCAGAGGGTTCTTTTAAAAATGTAAATCAGATCAGATCACTCCCGTGTTCAAAACACTCCAATGGTTTCCCATCACACAAAGTATAATCTTAGCTCATTCATAGCCCTTTTTTGATCTGGCTTTTCACTTGCTCCATTCCAACCATGCTGCCTTCTTGCTGTGCCTTGAACATGCAGACTGTGTTCCTACTTCAGGGCCCTAGCTCTTTTTTTTTCCTTCTTTACATGGATTACGTCTCATTTATTTTTCACAACATCCCCATTAGTTATAAACTTTTTTTTAAATTCTTTATTTTTTAAAGTATTACCTAAGTCTCCTTTTTCCCACATTTACCTCTCCCCAGCCTTTCCCACCCCCAGCACATGTCTTCACCCCCGTAGTGTATGTTCCATTGGTCATGCTTACATGCATGCATACAAAACCTTTGGTGGATATTAAAATCACCTTTATT